TAAGTTTAGTCTGCACATGACTATGTGGGTCATTTGGTCTGTGATCTGCTGGGTGGGTCTTCTCTGTACTCCTCTTGGAAGCTGAGCTGTGTGACTTGAGGTACCATCTCTCAAAAGCTCAGCATTTGGTGCCAGATGTTAGTTGGTGTTTTTCTAATATTCCAGTTAATGATCCCAAGCTGAAATGATGTCCTCAGGCCACAAGAGTGAGTGGAAGCTGCAAAGCCAGTTGAGACTGGTGCTTAAGGAACCACAGAGCAGTACTTCTTCCTAATTGGGCAGAATGAGTCACAACATCAACTCAGATACAAGAATAGAGACATCATATCTCCAGGAGAGCAATGAGGTAACATGGGGAGTGGTTTGAGAATAGGTGTTGATGTATCTGTGTCATATACATGATTACCAGTCTGTCCATGATTACAGCCATGAACTTTCAGCCCAGTATGAGGGGAATTCATGAAAGCAACTGGTTACTCCTGTAACAATGACCTCATTCTTGGGATAAGTACCTGTTATTATAATGTCTGAATAAGTTAGTGTTCATACGTCCCAGGACTTATCAGCCCAAACTTACAGGAGTACATGAGGATGAAACTAAATATAAGTGACACACCATATAAGTGCTTATATAAGTGCTTACCATATGTCAGAGTCAATTCTAACATTAATGCACATTAACTTAATCCTCATAACAATCCTACAGAGTGGGCATTGTGATTTATTTACAGTTAGTCTTTGAGGAAATTGAGGCACAAATAACTGAAGTGTCACTCTCCAAAGTCACACAGAACACAATTGGTAACTAGTCCTTCATCAAAAGCCATCTGACTTCAAATTCATTCTTAACCTTTTGATAAGGGTCCAGAGGGGCTTACAATGGAGAAACACAGAAGATATTAGGTGACTGGGGGTGAAGAAGTAAAATGTGGAAAGTAGTTACTAAAGGAAGCTGAAGGGAGGAATAAGCAACTGGAAAAAATATGGAAGATAGATACAGATATAAACAAGACTCAGATACTTCAGGAAATTTGCCATTGCCTCTCAGCCATCATATATATTTTTTAAGTTTTAAACAGGGAAAATTTAAATTCTCAAATCTAGTCACATATTCACAGTCACACTTGTGTGTGCATGTATGTATGTATGTTAGAGCATGTCTGTGTGTGTTCATGCTCATAGGTGCTTGCAGATGCCAAAAGAGGACCTCCATTGACTTCTTCATTCATCCTTCCTAGTTTTTGAGACAGAGTCTCTTACTGGACCAGAGGCTAGCAGATCTCACTAGGCTGTGTTGCTAGGGAGCTCCCCAGATGAACCCATTTCCATTCCCCAAAGACTGAGGTTACAGACACGTGTGACCATACCTGGTTTTTATATGAGCACTGGAGATTTCAACACAGATCCTTTTGCTTTTACAACAAGCATTCTTACCCACTGAGCCTTTTCTCCAGACCCATGTTTCACCTTTAGTAGGTATTTTACATTTGGTTTTATGCTCTGCATGGAACTGTAGCTACAGGGACTTGTTTGTATTAGACTCTAACTCTAATAGTTCTTCCATGACTTGGAAGAACTATTGTCATTCGGGTGCCTTTGAAGTCTTACTGTGTGTTGTCTCTTTTGTACCTTTGACCTCATTGAGTGGTATGATGAAACAGAAAAGTTATTTTAATTTATTCCTTTGTAGCAGCGAAAACTTCTATTGCAAACTTGCCCATCCCTTGCTTGCTTGATCTCATTCACAAATTAGTTTTATTTCTGGTAAGGATTTCAAATCAGAAACTTACTGTTTAAGAAATTTAACATGTAGAAAAATGCCATGGCTCATGAGTTGGAAATAGTTTTAAAACACACATTATGCATTTGAATAAATTCATTTTCCAGGCTGAAATAAAATGAGTCAAGAACATGAACAACAGCAGAAAGAAAAAAGTGATTGCTGAATGTCCAGGAACCCAATCAGCACAGGCAAGTTTTAAGTTCTTAAAAAGGGTTTTCTGGAAGCTGGGAGATGAGTCAGTGAGTACTGTGCTTGCCATGAAAGAATGAGGACCTAAGTTCAGATTGCCAGCACCCTCATAAAAACTGTATTCTGACCTTCATGGGTGACTTCGAGGGAAGATGATCCTTAAGGCTTACTGGCCAGCCAGCCTAGCCAGAATGGCCTGGGTTCATGGTAAACACCGATCAAAAATAACACACACACACACACACACACACACACACACACACACGTTTCTAAGGGAAAACAAAAACATACAGAACCAAGACATACCCAGCAAGCTGTGTGAGACTGTCCAGTTTGAAAGTACTGGAAGCCAACAAAGTAATTGCAAATATCTTTGCAGTGTACAAGATCTTCTTAAGTTCCACAGCTCTGCTATCAGAGTACCCTTTTTCTGAATTTACAATGGCACATACTCCTGCTTTAACATCTTCTTGTTTCCTAACATAAGGCTCCAAATTCAACTATGAGCAGGTAAGGGATTAGAGAACATTCTGTACTCAGTAGAAACTGAACTTGACTCTTCTTAACTCTGTCCCATGTCAGACACATGTCTGGAATAAACTTTATATGCTACACAGAAACAAGAGTAGCAATATTCCTCCAAAAGCATTAACACAGGCAGAGGAAGAAAGGAAGAAGGCTCATGGGGATATCCATCATTTGTCAAACCAGCACAGGTTACATTCTCAAGGCATCCTTGAACTTTGGACCTAGTGAAGATCCAGCCACCTGTGTGAGAAACATGGTTGCATTGTCAAGAGTATCCCCTGGGTTTGTATCAGATTCAGTTAGGTCTGTTCATCCCACGAGTGGTAGAGCTGTCACTGAATAGTGAAGTAGGGGATGGTGAGCTAGGAAGGTTGTGAGATGAGAAAGCAGGGTGTGATTGTTAAGTTTTCATTCACAGTGGTGACTAAAGACTGGAGAGGACAGTTGAATGGGAGGAATTATTTGGGTCACAGTTTCTGAGGTTTCTTTCCATCATGACTTGGTGGTGCAACTCACATCATGGTAGAGGAAGCAGGGTATGGACAGAAGTGTGTTCTATCTGGATTTCTTCTTTCCCCCTCTTATTCCATCTGGGCTGCCAGCATATAAGGGTGGCATTCTCCAAATTTAGGGTGTTTCTTACTCTTGGTTGACATCCTCTGAACATATTATGACAGGTACAGCTGGAGAGGTACAGTTCACTAATCTCCTAGATACTTGTCAAGATGAACTCTTGCTCATGGTGTCTACTAGCCAGAATCAGAGTTGTTAGAAGGGAGAAGGAAAGACACAGCAGGAAGACACATTCTAGTTTTTGGGCTGATGACGTCTCCAGCCATTATTATGAATAAACATTTTTTTACATTACTGTCAATTTCTTTCATTTCTAGTTCATTTATGCTAAGTATGTGTGTTGTTTAGTTTTTGTCAACTTGACACACAACCCAGGTTAGCTGGACAACAGAACCATACATGGTCCTTGGAAGCAGCTTGGGTCTGGATGACATCTTAGCTCTGGGTGGAAGGAATGGAAGGAACTATTCCCACCTGAGTGGCCATATGGCCACTGGACACCACCAAAGCCTTAGATTGTGGCCCCAACCCTGGTGGCAATGCAGGACCTGGGCTTCAGCACAGACCCCAGCCATATTAGGACCATGGACCTCGACATGATCGTCAGCAGCAGCTGGTTCTGGATGTCATCACTGCCCCAGTAGCAGTATGGCCCTGAGACTCCAACATGGCCAACAATCTTGGGTGCCTGCATGACCTTTGATGGTAACAGGTACATTGGACATCAGCACAGACCCTGGCTGCAGTGGGGCCATGGACTACAACATGGCTTTCTGCTTTCTGACCCAGCTATCACCATGACATTGAATAGCAGCTCAGGCCACTCAGATCTGGATGCATCCTGGCCCCTGGACACCAACCTGGACTCAGGTGGCTGGTTTGACCCTTAGCGTCCTCATGGCACTCAGTGGCAACAGGAGCCCCATACATCAATCCAGACTCTGTTGCTATAGGACCACAGACCCAGACATGGCCCTCAGCAGCAGCCTGTGCTTAGATGACACCATGGGCCCTGGTGCCACCACATGCCACCCATGTCTACATGGCCTCTACTATGGCATGGCCCCAGACTCCAGCCAAACCGCAGGCTCTGGCCCTCTGTATTGGCCCTAGTGGCAAGCTGGGCCACAGACTTCAACACAGACCCTATCTGCAACTGGGTCACTGACCCAGAGAGCCTCAGACAGCAGCTCGGCCTGGTTGACATCCTAGCTCCAAGTGGTAGCCTCGGCCACTCACATCAGGATGTCTCTGGCAGCAGCATGGCTACTGGATACAAACAAGACCACAGGTTGCAGTCCATACCCCAGGCTTCATGTGACCTTTGTTGGCACCATGGGGCGTGGGCATCGGCTGCAGTAGGACCGCCGACCCAGACATGGTCCTTGGCAGCAACCTAGGCCTGGTTGTCACCATGGTTCCAGGTGGCTGCAAAGGTCACCCAGAACAGTACCACTCCAGCAGCAGTGTGGATCGTGGACCCAGCCCACTGGAATCAGCATGGCATTCACCAGCAACAGGAACCTTGGACATCAACAGAGACCCTGGCTACTGTAGGACCAGGGACTCAGACATGACCCTTGGCAGCAGCCCAGCGCAGATATCACCATGGCCCCAGATGGCAAGCAGACCTCCAACATCTGCCCACTCCTCACTGTCTTCATTTCTTCCTTTCTGAGTCCACAGCGCATGAACCATTTTGTTTCTTTATCTCTCCCCTCTCCACCACATATTTCCTTATTGTAATGATACCCACATGCCTAGTGCCTTCACCCTGTGGGCCTCTGGCTGTTCTCCAGACAGCCAGGGCTTTGAGGACTCTGGTGAGGTAGACACCCTCTAAGTGGAGAGGCATCAGGAGGGGGTGGCTGTCTTCCCACCAGCAGGGGCCTTGAGGACCCCAGCCAGCTAGGCCCTATCTCTGGTCATGGACTTTAACCTGGAAGATGAAACCCCAATTCAACACTTCTTTTATAAGCTGCCTTGGCCATGGTGTCTTATAAGATCAATAGGAACTGAGACCCACGGCAACAAGGGAGGCTTGAGTGCCGGCGGCCCAGCCCCTTCCACGATGTCCATGGCCAAGGAGGCTAAGAAGCTGACGAGCCACACGGCAGTGGAGAACCACGTGAAGAATAACCAAGTGATGGGAATTGGAAGTGGTTCTACAATTGTCCATGCTGTGCAGCGAATAGCTGAAAGAGTGAAGCAACAGAATCTGGACCTCATTTGCATCCCCACATCTTTCCAGGCCAGGCAGCTTATCTTGCAGTATGGCTTAAACCTCAGCGACCTGGATCAACACCCAGAGACTGACCTTGCCATCGATGGTGCTGATGAAGTGGATGCCGAGCTCAATCTCATTAAGGGCGGTGGAGGCTGCCTGATCCAGGAGAAGACTGTGGCTGGTTTTGCCAGTCGCTTCATTGTGATCGCTGATTTCAGGAAAGATTCAAAAGAACCTTGGAGATCGGTGGCACAAGGGGATCCCTATGGAGGTCATCCCAGTGGTTTATGTCCCAGTGAGCTGAGCTGTGACCCAGAAGTTTGGGAGTGAGGGAGAACTTCGAATGGCTGTCAGCAATGCAGGGTCTGTGGTGACAGATAATGGGAATTTTATCCTGGACTGGAAGTTTGATTGGGTGCACAAGTGGAGTGAAATGAACACAGCTATCAAAATGACTCCAGGTGTGGTGGACACGGGCCTGTTCATCAACATGGCAGAGAGAGTCTACTTTGGGATGCAGGATGGTTCAGTGAATGTGAGGGAGAAGCCTTTCTGGCCCTGTGAGGGCACACACCTTGAGTCTCCAGTACAGGCACAGTGGACATGCCTCTCCAGGAGCCTTTGCCTTAATGTAGCTGCCCACAGTGCCAGAGTAGAGAGCTGATCACGGGTGGGTGGGTGAGGGGGTGGTCAAATCCAGTCTTATGAAGTATTGCTATGTGTCTTTTAAAAAAGAAATTTAAATATATATATTTACTATTAAAATATTCAGTTTTTTATAAAATAGAACTTGACTTTATGTTTTATATTAAACATTTACCAAAAACAAAAAAAAATGTATAAATAAAAACAGGTTGTCAGGGACATGAGGGAGCAGAAAGATTGAGTTGGGGGAAGAATAGAAGAAAACAAGAAAGGAGATACCATAATAGAAGGAGACATTTTAGGTTTACAGAGAAATCAGGCACCAGGGAAAGGTCTGGAGATCTACAAAGATGACACCAACTAACAATCTAAGCAACAGAGGAGAGGCTACCTTAAATGCCCTCCCCTGATAATGAGATTGATGACTGTCTTATATGCCATCCTATAGCCTTCAACCTACAGCTGGTGAAAGTAGAAGCAGACTCCCACAACTAATCACTGAACTGAACTGGAATTCAGTTGCAGAGAAGGATCAGTGAGGAACCCTCGGAAATCTATGGGACCTCCTGTAGTTGTTTAGTACTTATCCCTAGCCCAGGTGTGGACTTTGGGAGCCCATTCCACATAGAGGAATACTCCTTGAGCCAAGACAGACAGGGGTGGGCCTAGGCCCTATCCCAAAGGATACAATAGACTCAGATGACACCCTATGGAAGACCTCACCATTCAGGGAGAGCAAAAAGGATATGTGATAGATAGGGTTTTAGTTGGGGGGGTAGGGGAGGATGGAAGGGAGAAGGGAACTGGGATTGTCATGTAAAACAATCCTGTTTGTAATTCAAATTTTAAAAAAAAGTTGAAAAAAAAATGGGGTTCATCTCCCCTCTGCTCCACAGGGAGGGTAAGGCCCTCCATGGGGGATAAAAAACAAAACAAAACAAAACAAAACAAAGAAAAACAAAACAAACCAGGAGGTCAGGACTGTCTCTGAATGCTTTGACTTGACCTGTTGGCTAAGCTTCTGAGGTTTTAGATTTGCTGAGAAATAACAACATAGCATTTCCTTAAGCCAGCCAGCATCGAGTGTCTCCTGCTGCCTTATGGGAAATCTTGTTTAGTTTCTTGCCATACTCTGTTCTGTTTTAGGTTGTTTTCATTGTACCACTCCCAAATCCTAGTTACATTTTAAGATCAGGTTTCCAGAAGTCTGAGTGGAGCAGTGGGATTTGTTGTGACTTGGGGCTAAACTCCCAGGTGAGAATGCACCTTCTCTGGGACCCTGGCTTTCTTGGGTCCTGCTGTCAGAGGCATGCTGTGGGAAGCTTTTGCCTGCTGGCAGCTGGCTTGCACAGTATGGTGTGAGATGTGAAGCACTTACTTTTTGTTGTTGAACGTTTTTCTTTGTTTTTGTTTGTTCTCTAATAATACTTATATGATTTGGCATCAGAAGCTGTCAGATATTTGTGCTGTTTGAAGGTTGAAATAAACATTGTTGTGCCATTTAAAAAAAGATCAATAGGAAATAACTAAGATATACTATACCACACACACACACACACACACACACACACACACACACACACACACACACACCACAGCATATACATGAATATATTATGAAAAATATTTTGGGTTCCTCCAAGTTTGTACACTTCACTTCACTGAAGCCCATAATAACTGAATTTTATGTCACCTTGCTTACTGCAGAAAAGATTATGCATACTTATTTCAGTGGGTTCAATTTTCTGTTCTGGTACTCACATTTGGTCCTTTAATTTATTTACTTGATGGTGCTTTTCTAATTTATTTGACATTATTTGGAAAACTGTCCTTCCATCCTGTCCCTTTCAGAGTTTGATGATGATTTACGTTACAGGCTAGATATTGGTCCTGGGGATTTAACTCAAGTTTTCTGAAAAAATAATGCATGTTCTTAGCTGCTGAGCCATCTGCTCAATTCCATGTCACAGAATCCAAAATTTGGACCACACTCTGGAATTCCTGCTTTATTTTCTCTGAACTGCCTGTCCCTGATGTACTTCACCACCTATCCTAGGAGTTTCTTCTTTATGGATCAGGGGGAGCCCAGCCCGAATATAACTACACCACAGCTCCTACATCCATGACTCAGGAAACGTGATAGAAAAATGGAAAGATTTTTAGGAGCCAGAATAGCAGGAAGTCTGCTCTGAAACAGTTTTATTCTAGAAAAGTCTACATAAACATAACCAGGAAAATGAAAATATCAATGAGAATGTTACTATGGAAGGGGAAAACTTTCATGGATTTCTGCACCTAGACAAAGAATTCCAGAATACTGATAACTGCTAGGAGAAGGAGAAGCAACCTCTTCAAGAGGTGGGCCCTGCCACCAGTTTTCCAGTGCAGAGTGGTCAGCCCTGAAACTACGTATACACAAACAACAAAAACAGGTTGTATTTATATGTTTGTGCAGTCACATGTGTGCACACACAAGCATTCATGCATGTGTACATACATCTGTATGTATGCACTAATCATAATAAAAGAAAATGAGGCTACCACCTTGAGAAGGGACATGAGAAAGTTTCAAGAGAACATATCTCGAAGGAACTGTAGGGAGGAAAGAGAGGGGAAAGTGATGTAAATTCTAGTTAATTAAAAATGTATTTTTAAAATTTTTTAAATTATGGTTGTGCATATGTTTTGTGATTTAACACATGATGGTATGAATTCCAACTCCCGCTATGAATTTTGCTTTGCTGCTCAATCTGTCAACCTTCAGTTGTTTTTTTGTTTTTTTTTGTATTGATACCTTCCTCACAAAGATACCCTGATTCAAATGCTGCATGAGGTACATGGCCTGCCTGTTCAGTAAATAATCAAAACAAAATCAGAAAAAAAACCCTAATTCATCATGTTTTAAAATTTTTAGTTTCCACTTCCACACTTATTAATTATTACAAACTTGCCAAAGCCACCTCTAAAACTGGAGAATTGCATGTGTTCCACAGATGTTCTGTGAAGAAGACATGGAATACTATAGATATGGAAGCATGCAAAGCCCCACTCAATGTCAGGGAAGGCCTCCAGGGTTGATCTTCAAAAATTCTATTGTTCAGAAACTCCTCTGTTTCTCCATAGGCCATTGTATTAGATGTAATCCAATCTGACTGGCATTCAGATGCAAGGGGAAACTTTGAATGTCAAGACTGACATGGCAATGGAAGGGCTGTGTAGAAGCAAGGGCAACCTGGCTGTTAAAGATGTTTCAGGAAGGGGGTGGTGTATCTTCAGGTCTCAGAATACCTACAGCTACCAGAATCTTGAAGAAAAAAGCGTCCATCAACTCAGCTTCAGCACCTGTGGAGGGAGCAAGGGCCTGTGCTAACTCACCTGACCCGAGGTATACTGTTATGGTAACCCCAGGAACTTAATGGAGATGGTTATGCTTATAGTTATTGTTATTAAACTTGATAGTCCTTTTCATGTTTGCCATGTTCCTATGCACTGTGCATGCAACTAACTGTGAATTTTATAAAATGTTTGCTCTCTACATTTCTGTGTGCAGGGCTAGCCTGATACTAAACACTCATGTTAGAGACTCCACCTGGCTAATCTTTTGCCATTTGGAGATACGTGCTTCCTCGTAACCCTGGTTCTTTATTATGAAACAATTGCATTATGAATTCTGATGTCTGTAGTTTCTTCAATGCATTATTGGAGTAAACTGTGAAGGAAGGACAGTCTCATTGGTTTGCTGGCTTCCCAGCAGAAGGAAGAGTAAATCCAAGTTACCATTTTCTGTCCTCAGAGTGTAGAAACTTGAAGCTTGCTCTGCTAGTCTCCTAATGGACACACAACTTAATCAATCAGGTTAGTACACACACAGTTCTCCCAGAGGCTGGGACAAAGAAATTTATTAGAACATTATTTTTCTTTGGATGAAATAATTATTTAGACTTTGACTTTACTCATAGTGTGGGCATCAACAGTACTCACTGGTGGTACCACCTGCTGCTTTGGTGTGAAAATGTCTCTAACAAGCCTCCTGGCCCCTAGAGAATCCCATATAAATCCCATCTGTCCTGCTTCCATGAAGCCTCCAGAAACCATGTTGCTTCTCATGAGTTATCGAGAAACGATTAGCCTAGTTAGTCTGCTAAGGGCGGGGCGGGGGGGGGGCTCCTTTTCATGTGCAGATGGAGTCCTGTGCTCTGCTCTGTACTTAGGTTCCATTTTGAATTGTGTTAGGGTTTGTCTTTTTTTTTTTTAATTGAAGGTAGATGATCCCTGGTGTCATTCTCTGTGGTCTTTCCAACCCAAAGGATGGGCTGCCATGGGTGGATGCTCTCCCTAGCTACAGTTTTGACATAGCTAAGCCTCCCTTTTCCAGATGCAGAAGCTCATTTGGCAAAGTGGTACATGCCAGGCCATGGACCCTTGCTTTTCTAGACACGGGAGGTCTCATTTGTCTCTGAGAAAGAGTTATCCTTGCTGACAGAGATACCAGTTGTTTAATTGTGAGGGTTTCCTGTGCATCAGCTAATATTATGATCCTTTTTTCTCTTTCCTGCTTTTTTCATTCACTTCCCTGTGCTTCATCTTGAAACAAAGACATCCCCAGACCTCAGAGCACAGGAAAGCTAAAGCCAGCATTTAGAGTTGTAATTAGGATATTGAGCCTAATTAACTTCATGCTTTTTTCTCATTTCTCTAAACAGAAAAATCAATAGGAGATCTGTGGCCCCTTTAATAGAGATTAAATGGCCAGAAACAGGCTTTGCTGCTTTGGAGGCCAAGACACCAGTTCTGATGTTAATTAAAGGCACTTATTGTCATGTCCTTCCCTTTGAAATGCTGGCTGACAGGGCTTCCATAGCAGCTATTCCTGTGATGCTTCACCAGGTGACTGTGGTGGTGCACTGATGCTGTTTCTCTGTAATTCACTCCTCCTCATGCAATTTTCTACATGCCCTCTGCTTAAAGTCTGTTTCTTCCCCATGGACTTGCTTTACCATGCCACTCCAGTCCTTGGGT